TTGTTTGCTAGTACAGCGACATCGATAGCAAACATCAACTACTGCTCCGGCACGCTCCTTCATACTCACGATCAACCTTGATCCACGGCGCAGTGGCAGTGACTTCTGGGGATGGCAAGAGGGCGAGCAAGTCTTCACGAGACGCGTGCCTGACGGCGTTGTCTTCACCAGGCTTCAGCAACATGTGGGGCAGTGTTTCGGCTGGGAAATTGCTCTAGAATGTTCCAGGCTGGCTGCTTGGGACTTGTGCTTTTCCTCAATTATCACCTGCCGCGAAACAGGAAGATTCACGAGGATCATCTTCAACTGGGCTCATCAAGTTCAGACATCTCCGTAAAGTGCTGCATACTACTTAGTTCTCCACTCAACGAGACCCCTGCTCCCCCAAAGAACAAATCTGCCCTACATGGTCGCAAACATTGAATGGTAGGATCGTGGATTACCTCCCGTCGCTGCCCGACTCGTAGCCAAGTTTCTCAATATGAGACTGACCAAAGCCAGAGCAAGGAAGGACTGCCAACGTAGAACAAGTGGAGTAAATCGGCAACCCCGATAGAGTACTGCTGGGCTACTCCGTACCTTCAGCTTGATTCGAGGGATGCCTAGGCACTTGAGCACTTGTCATCACTAGTGTAGGTTTGGGGGTCCTATATGGTTTGAAGAGGTAATATAAATTAACAGGTATTATTGTTTTAAATCCCACCCCTGACCAGGAGGCCTCCCAGAATCCCGGTTTCGGCCCAATGCCAGGGCTGCAAGTCCCTGGAAGCATCGGAGGTAGCTTGCCTTGGAGATACTCTGCTGAGTACTTTTAGGGTTTCGGGTTAATCACTTCCCCCTAATAGTACATGACGCCCTCCCGAAATATGAAATAGTACATGACGCCCTCCCGAAATATGAAATAGTCCGGGGCCTGGACGAATACTTAATCAATTGAGATTATCTAATTCATTAATCAATTGAATCATGAATGGACAATTCCAGAACTTGGCCCTTTGTAAAGTAGTCTTGCCCTGTTTAAATGCGCTCTTCCGCATTTTACGCCCCTGAATTTATCATTTGTTTACTTATGGGTCTTATGGGGTTTCAATATAACGGGGAATCGATTCTAAAGCATACGACAAATAACAGTCATTGTCATCGCAATGGTACAGCCAGCGTCATAGCAATGGTAACGCTAGCAACAGTCATACAGTAGCGGCAGTAAAGTAGTTCCATGCTCATTTCCTTTATCCGTTTTATAACCCCTCTCTCTCTATATATATATATACCCTGTTACAATATCATAATGATAGTCCCCTCAGTCATTAGTAGAGCGTGAAGAGGGGCAGTCATGGTAAGAAGCGACTCCGAACTCGGTTAGGTCAGGTTTAGTCCAAAGCTTCACCAAACAGCGCTGGACCCTAAACCCGAAACCCTTAACCCTACAGCCTGAGTAACCCAAGATCAGGCAGAAAGGGCGAGAAAGCCTGTGAGAGGCAGCCCTAGAACTGCAACGATCCACAGACATGGGGGTCCCCATGATATGGAGTATTGTATTTGGGGATCTATGTTGGGGCCCCCTTATCTTGGGAAACTACCATATTGCACGGGAGCTCTGAGAAACACTGGGTGCTCAGCTGTTGAAGAGCCGTCCATCATTGCACGTTGGGCTTCTGTTCGGCCATGATCCATAAGTGGTCTTTGCGAGACCTTGCCTACACCTGGGTCCAGACCCCTCCCCTCTTAGCTAGTTTAAGCTTAAGGCATGGCTTCTACCTGTCCCTGGCCTTGCTCCACATGACTCCATGGGGCCTGGATCCCAAAGGCATCCCAACTCAGGCCTTCACCCTTGGGATTCTCCCACTTGAGCCATGCAGAGATGCGTAGCCAGATGCAACGGGCAGAGGCAGTATTTGTCAAACGAAGCTGCGCATATGTTCTATCAAGTTGAAAGCGTAAAGTGCCTTGATCGGCCATAGTCTACCACCGTAGCACGCTGACCATATGGCCAGCACAGGCATATCCTTGCTTTAGTAGACTTGAAGATCTTACTCTCCATACCGAAGCATTTCTACAGTGAGGTCCTCACCACGACATTTGCTAGTGTACACAGAGCAAACACTCTCTGTGTGCAGACCCTGCCAACTTGCCTCGAGCTGTCCGACAGATCGTGGTGATGCACGCAGATTGTGAAGACCTGAGCCAACCAGGCCCCTTGTCAACACCTCTTTAAGGCTTCAGAGGCAGCATGGACTCGTCCTTCTCTCAGCTGGCTTCTGTTGCTCCGCTGGCCCAATGAGATTTATACACGTCCAGCATGAAGAAACCGCACTTTTCCAAATTTCAAAAGCGTCCTTAGGTTTTCTGGCTTGATGCGAGAGATGCAAGAATCTTGCGTATTCCTTGACAATTCAGGCCGACGTTTGTGAGCACTCAGCATGAGCAACTAGAATGCATACTGGGTCTACCTGTGTGCTATCTCCTCAGGCAGCACGAGAACCGGACACAGTGGGAGCGCGAGGACCTCTCATTCATGCTCGTCGCTGTTGTCGTCCGCTGAGCAAAACCTGCAAGGAGTGTTTAGGATAAAGAGCATCAGAGGGTGAAACAGACGTGGCATGATGATATCAACCCTCTCACGCGCGAGTAAACCCGTTGGCCATAGAAAAACATCGAAAAAAGCTTCGTGCGGGGTGGGTGGAGTCCTGCATCCTCTACCAAACAAATATAAATTAAACTCATGCACACATGTGGATGGTCTACCCTCATGGCAGGCATCCAGAAGCCAACTCACACTTTCAGAAGCACCCTTTGGATGTCCGCTCCTTCGTGGATCAACCGATTCATCTGCTCAGAGGTCTCCACCACCTTCATCGGAGGATCAAGGAGGGCTGTGGAATTTGTTCCTCAAAGCGTCCGCTCGAAAATAATGAGGTCCGTGAATATCTACCCATGAGCTTGACGTCCTCATTCATGACTCTGGGGCTCAAAGCTAGCTTTTGCGCATGGCTAGAGATTCGGCAGGGGGCTGTTCTTTTCACGTCTACTTCCGATGATGCGAGCAACTCCATGAACCATGGCAAGATCTGTCACCTACGGCGCGGCTACTACTACAACGCCAGCTTTAGCGGCCAAAGGCAACTGTTGGAAGCTCTGCTTTATGTTGCAGATGCTGCTTTCCAGCTGCCTTGAGAACTTAACTAAAGCTGACCCGTCTCTGGTGAAAGTAAAGACTCCCAAGCAGGGGAAGTTATCGAGAAGCTGCCGGCGAGGTGACAGAGAGCCTGAACTATGCCAGGGGGTCGCACGCTATCAACCAGCTGGATGCGTATGTTGACAATGTGTGCGAGAAAAATAATTGAAGGTTGTTGTTCCAGATTTCCGCTGTCCGCGTGGACAAGATTGCCTTCCGCCCAATCACGAAGCATGCCAAACTTTGCTTTTTGCCTCTGACGCAGCAACGAGCGCTTTGCGAATGCTGCCAGTGTCACATGTCGGCCGCGTTGGCCACACCTAGTGGTATCTGGCAGATGGGCAGATGAGTCGCTGGGAACTGAGGAATACATGGGACGGCCGTCGGCTGGGAGAGGCGAAGTAGACGGCGTCCTGCACCACCTCTCAAACAGCAAGTGCGCAGGTAACCTGAACCTGTGGCACCACCGAATAACATCTCAGAATGTGCTCTCCTGCAATGCTCTGCACATTTTTGCGCCTTCGCTGTGGTTTCGCGTTTGCCCGCGTGTCACTGTGGGGGCGGCATCCGAGACCAGGGTCGCTCGCTGCTGTGCTCACAAATGGCCTCCTGAGCACACAAGGTGCAAGGAATGCTTTCGACTGCCTGACAGCTACTTGACATGTGTCGCGGAGGTCGATCAATGCAAAGTCCACCCCTGTGATGCACCACGGGTTTGCCACAGGCTGACAGCCCATAGCACATGTCAAATTTGACATTCACACCCTATCTGGATTCTGCATCGCAATGCAGCCGAGTCACGTAGGCTGCGGTTGCTGCACGCAGGCGTTTTGCCCGAGAGCTTCCCTGAACCAGACTTGTGACAATATGACTGCATAACGTGGTAAACTGGCAAGTGGAGCGCAGAGTGCATACGAATCCGGAAGCTGATCTAGTGTGAAGTTGTCTGTGGCAAGGCCGGACAATGTGACCAGAGATGCGCTTCAACAGGTGGAACCTTTCATGAGCCGCTGTGCTTCTTTTGGAGAGCATGGAGAGAATCATGAAAAGAGTGATGGGAAAGCCATGCATACTGCAGACATGAATGTCTCTATCTGCGTGGACTGCATTGGTGGAGCAAACTTGTAGACATGCTCACTGTGCACACGTCTTGCTTGCAACCAGCGAGGTCAAATGCAAAAGCCGTGCGCTCCTCGTCGCTCAACGACGCTCCAAGGCGCTTGTAGGCTGCATGTACATCTGGTGCAGGGGCGCCTCACAAGGTTGGGATTCTTAGTTCAAAAAAGTCAATTCTCATTCTCTGCCGGATGGCTGTTTGGGGAATCAAATGGACTCTGCATGGGCACATTTTCTCTCCTGCTTTCCAGCTGATGTACAACTGAAATCCGCCTCTGGCTGATGAAGTTACAGGCAGATGAGCGGCGAATGGCAGGACCCTTGCAACGCGGGACTTCACACAACGCAGAATTTAATTCTGTTGTGCGGCACCCGGCATCGAACAGAGAATCATTGAAGGTTTGGGCCTCTGAGGCCTGCAAACCGTCATAAGCCCAAAAACAATCCCAGCCGATTGGACTGAGGATTGGAAAAGCTAGTAAATGTTTAGACAACTACCTAAACCGGCCGCATGATTGGCCACAAGGCAAGGCGAGCATCCTCTTGCAAAAATAAGTAGTATGCAACTCGTTGTAAGTTTTCCTAGGAGCCGCTGGCTCACCTGTTTTCCGTCAGGTCGATACGAAACAGCTCAGCCGTGGCAGTAGCGCTATCCGGCTAACTGCATGAAGTGATGGCGGGGTGGCCGCACATGTTCAAACCTGGCTGCTCAAATGTCGGCGCGCTCAACGCCTAACGCAAAGGCTTCGTCTTCTGAGAGTTTGCTTTCAGAAGCCCCTGCCATCCTTGGCTGGGGAGCTGCAGTCTTAGCCGCCTCCAGGTCTGCCTGGGCGCTATGTGTGTGATTGTGGACCTTCTCTTCCAGTCGTTGCGCTCCGTACTGTGTATACCAGAGGAGGAGATACAGGCCAAAGAAAGCTGTCTGCGCAAGGCCAAAGGCCCCCCCCGCCTCCCCAATCACCGAAACCCACAGATCTGTCTTCTCAACCTTCCTTTCATAGAACTCTGGGCGCATCACTACCTGGGCCGTCTGGGCATCGGCCGGGGCCTCATTCTGGCAACCTTGGTGCGTCGGCTCCAGAGCCTGCGGGGAGAGGTACATCACAAACCATTCTCGCCGGAGGTAGTTGTAACTACCTTCTTCCTGCGTAAGGTCATGGGTCTTCACGTAGGTCATCGAAGAGCGTCCGGACTCCACAAGCTGGTTGACCTGCCCGCTGGGAGCGTCCGAGAAGATCTTGATGCCTGCAGTGCTGGGGTCCGTACCGTTCGGCGACTTCCACCACATATGCAAGCCTTCCCGGGCTCGCCAGGAGTAGCCTGGGTTGCTGTTAAGGACCTTAAAATAAGTTACCATAATGGGTATATACAGTACATAACAAGGTTTCCCCAATATAGTAACTTTAATTAAGTTTCTTAAGCAACCCAGGAGCACATCTGGAGTGTGTGCTCCTGGCCGCTTGTCAAAGCAATGCATTGACCGGAGGCGTCACTGTTGCAGCCTGAAAGCCACATCCAACAGTTGGCCTCTGCGCACTGGACCTTCATTGGAAAGGGGCCCTTTGCAACAGACCAGTCAATCACCAAGGTCTCCACGGGAGGCTGGTTCTGATAATTCACCACCCATACAATGACGTAGACCAGGACAACTGGGAACATCAGCACCGTGAGTGCGCAGCCAATCGACGACGGTGCCCGCTGAGGCTCCACGTTGTGGAAACTGTCCAACCAGCGCATGGCTTTCTCCATCGCGCCTTGTGCCTTCTTCTGCGCCTCCATTGTGATGCAAAGAACACGAGACCCCACTGCAGAAACTTGAGCCAAAAAAGACAAGAGTCCATAAGGGCCATAAACTACGGCAGTTCCCCCTAACATCTGCATGCCCTTCTAGTGCTAGAGTACTTTACCCCTTGCATCCGTCAGGGCAATGATTGCCGCACAACATAGAATCATGGCGTTCATGCCACAGGTGCTTCCCTGCTGATCCACGCTACCTCTCTTTGGGCGTTCATCCCGATCCGTTTTGCCAATCCACCCTCCCCCACGAGCTGCAGATAAGCCTTAAGCGGTCCTAGAACAGCGATTGATACATAAGCTAAAGGCAAGGCCCTCTCACCCATGTGTTCCGCATGTGCCTGGCTGCAATCCGAGGACTTCATAATGTCGCTCCATGGACCTGAGCAATTGGTGGAAGCCATTCTGCCACAATCCCAAATTATGAAATTCAGATTGAGCCACAACTGTGTGCACCCAACTGCCCCACCCCCCCCCAAAAAAAAATACCTCATGAACAAGGATCTAGACGCAAGGGCAGATCCTTCTTGGCCTCGCTGGCCTTCACGGATCGACGGTCTGTAGCGGCTGGCAAATACAAACACCAACAATTATGCATGTCTATGTGTACACGCAGAAGATGCATCTGTTTGTCTGGGTATGTTTTGTAATCATGTACACATACATTTAGGTTAGGGGTGTGTGTGTGTGTGCGCGCACAACATAGAGCAGAGAAAACTAGAGCATGTGGATTCTCAAGCTATCATCATGCCACGGCCCTGTACATCAACATTCGTGTGAGAACACAAAAGGCCTGTGCAGCACGGAATATGTCATATTATCCCCAATATACTGCAATAGCTTCCATGTTCTTTTCATTACTCATCTTGTAGAACCCCAATATATGCCTCCCACCCCCCTTAAATCTATGTGCAGCACAGAATACGTGACAAACTGACGTGAACATGCTTGCCAGGCAAGGCTTGGCAAGAATGTCAGATTGATCGTGTCAGGCTGCACACAACACAGACCTCCCTGCCCACGTATACTACCATCTATAGGCAAGGTCTGCTCCAACTGCTAGATTCCTTGCGGCCCAGCCATGAATCCGAAGACGGCCTGTGGCATCTGCGATCGTCTTTCTGAGTGATGCCTCGCAATCTTGAGGGTTTTTGTTGAGCTCTATAGTGGGGATTTCTTCGAATTGGGGGAGAGAGGGGGAGAGAGAGAGCGAGAGAACGTCCTGGCTTCATTCTCTCCTACAACTCAAAACACTGATACGTCACAAGTTTACGCGATCTGAACGTGCACCCGCGACCTCACGAAACGGCTGGCTGCCGCTGCCTAGGCAGGGACAAGGCCACCGCAAATGTAGAAGCATGCTGTTCAATTTCTGGCCGCGTTTGAAATTCTTCAGTCTTGAAGCGCAGGACTTGTACATGCCCTGGGCATATACAAAGCAAACACCTTCTGGACAAAACCCTGAACAAGTCCGAACCTCATCAGAGCCATACTTGTCAAACTCATGAGTGAGTATTGCAATATAGCCAAAGGGAAGCGCTGCTGCTCTGTGACCAACTCAGGCTTACTGCATCTGCGCCACATCAATTTGCACTGCTGCGCGTTCCTTCTCAACCTGCCGGTCAAGTGACCACTCCCAGCTGCAAGTTGCAGAGAGCGTGTCTGTTGGAACCTGGCGCCTCACCGACCTAGGTTAGCTAATATACCTTGCATGAAATAGCTTGGGGAACCCCAATTTGCGCAAACACAAGACATGCAAGACAAGTCTGGCCCGCACTACGTCAGGTGGGGCAGCATGACGGCGGCTCCGGATCGCAGCATAAAACCTGATGGGATGAGGTAGACCCATTTCCTCTGAAGGTTCCCCTTGTCAATTGGGCAAATAGGAAGCTAGGATAGCCAATGTCAAGGATTTCTGTTGCCGGCTCGCAGCGTTAGCTTCTGGCATGCATTCTGAGTCAACTAAAATCCTGCAGCAGGACCTTGTATCATGCATGACCCCGAAGCAAAGTCAAAGCCCCAAGCCTGCTTCACAGTTGCAGAAGCCGTGACAAACGATTGTGGCTCGATACTAGGAACTTCTTTAGTTTTGCACTCTGTGACTGTTCTGCGGGCCTTGCTGGGTCCAAAGGGGCTTTTTACATGGTCGCTGGCATGGGCAGCCTGCAGACCGACAGCTTTCAGCTTCATACTTCCTACGACAAACTGCAGGAGAGGCTGACTGTTCCCGAGGCACTGCTCTTCTTCTTCCCGCTCCTGTGCCTGGCGCATCAGCGCCTCCCAGGATTACGACTGTAACTCTGAAAGGTTCAGAGCGATCCCACAAACTTGTTCCCTGACAAGGTTGACACTTAGCTCCAAACTCAGGGGAAGGCTGCGGCTGCTTGCTTGCAGAATGATCTACATGTTTCTCGAAGTTCGGGGCCTGTATACATCAAACCGGGAACCTTTATCGCCTAGAGCTCAAAGCTGCCCTTATGGACCATTGCATGTACTGCGGCCTGTGCAGAAGTGTGCCTGGGCCCGGATTGGGTCTCACGCAACCCCCCACAGCTTTAGATTCGGAAAGGCGGGGTAGGACCGGGCAGGATTCAAGCACAAGCGTTTACAATGGGGCTCAAACAACCTCCTCTGAACACATCACAAACAGAATGCAAACTCATATATATATATATTACTCGGTTGTGCACAATTTCCTGAGTGACTGCTCGTACATATGCGTACTGCAAAAACCCTATTCAACCAGCTTCCATCATGTGCCGTTGGACTTCCCATTTGATTCTTCAGTATTGCAGGGATTCCAAAACCCAATGATACTCATATAGCCGTTATACAAAACAAGCGTATAACCCTATACAACCCCTAAGCCCCAAACCCTAAACCCTAGATAGTGGTTTCCAACGTCTTTTCCAATTTGCCCCTATAACTTGTAACCCTTTATAATCCTGCCGACGTGCAACCCTGAATAGTAGTTTCCGTTTTCTTTTCCATTCTCCCCACATAACCTCTTCTACTCCTGTATATCGCCTATATGATTCTATAAGCGCCATATGCCCCTGCATAGCCCCCAACCCCTCAACCCTAAACCCTGAACCCTGTATAACCCATTATAGTAGTTTCCATTTTCTGTTCCAATATTCCGATATAGCCCCAATATACCATCGTTGTTTCCATTTTCTTTTTCCATTATCCCAATATAACCCCAATATTACCCCCAATATACCATAGTAACTCTAGTAGTTTCCATTTTCTTTTCCATTATCCCATTATAACCTCAATATTCCCCCAATATACCATAGTAGTTTCCATTTTCTTTTCCATTATCCCAATACAACCCCTTCTACTCCTGTATAACTCCTCTCTCTCTCTCTCTCTCTCCTGCGGACTCCTGTATAACTCCTATATCCCCTAAACCCCAAACCCCTAAACCCCTAAACCCCAAACCCCTAAACCTCTAAACCTCTAAACCCCTAAACCCTAACCTATTCAAGGAAGGTATCTTCTGGACAAGCCTGGATCTCTGCCAGGTTCCGCGCTTGCCGCTCTCGGGCCGCAACAGTGACATCCTTTTGGAGGGGGTTTTATGGTATATTGGGGTAATATTGGGGTTATATTGGGATAATGGAAAAGAAAATGGAAACTACTATGGTAAATTGGGGTAATATTGGTTTTTTGGGGTTATAGTTATGCAAGTAATACAGGGTTGAGGGTTATACAGGGTTTAAGGTTAGACAGGGTTTAGGGCTATACAGGGCTTAGGGTTATACAGGGTTCTGGGGGCTTTCTCAAGGTACGTAGAGGGTTTAAGGGAATTCAGGGATGTGTGGGGATGAGGCGGGTTATGCCGAGTCTGGGGCTCCTTACGGACGATTCGGCAGGGACTTTTTTCTAAAAAAGTCTCCCGGGTCAAGATCCAGCCCCTCCCTTCATCAGGGTAAATCTGAAATAACGACGGTTTGCGTCCCCACGGTAAGGATGATTGTATTTCGAGGGTCTATATTGGGGTCCCCCAGTCTTGGGAAACGACCAAATGAGGACTCACATTTTGAGAACCTCTCATGCGATTGCAGCAGATTATCGCCTGCGCTCGTTGCCCTGGGTTTTGTCTGGATGGGAGTTAAACGCCAGACATCAAGCCTCCTTCAGGCATGTATGTGGGAAGCAACTCAGCAATTGAGCAGTCTACAGGGCATGATTGATGAAACAATGTGCGGAACCCCCCTCCAATCTTCTTCTGTAATACTGCGCGTCTGTCCTGGCTCGACGTTGGCTTTGCTGAACATGGGGTGGACCTGAGGGGTTTCGCGGGATCACCTCAGAAGCTGCAGCTGCGCAGTGCCGGATATCGACTTTGGCGCATGCCCTTCCCGACGTTCATACACTCAACAACAGAGCCATTTGTCTAAAACCAAAAGCTCGCAACATGATGGACAAAACTTCCGCAACCCCATCATGGCCGGGGATGACACATGCATCAGTCAGAAGCAAGAGTATTTGCACATGATCGCATTGACGTGAAAGCGGCTCATCTGAGCTGACAACTCATCCAAAGTGCGCTTGACCCCAGGCACCAGCACCGCGCGCGCACCGCGATTTGCCTTCCACTAAGGCCGGGCATCATTGAAGTAACTTACCGGGGCAACTTGCCTGGAAAAACACTCCTACATCATTGTGCAGGCCCTTCAAACGTCTATGGAGTGAGTGTAGAGGCTGTTCAAGACTACCTGTGCTTACCACCGTGAACCGTCAACCCATGCAAAACCATGCCTGATCCTCGCTTTGAACTACACCCGGCTTTGCCATCCGACCAGTGCCCAGGAAATGCGGCACATGCAGGGCTGGGGCCTGAGAAATCACGATGTCACACGCCACTTGCCGCGAGTGCCGCCCATGCCCCGCACCAAAGCTATCTGGATCTGTTGAACATCCATCTGACGGGCCCCGCACTGATTTGA